CCAGTTAAGATCTTGGCGCGCGAAACTAAAGTACTAAGAAATAAGACGGTACCTTTGGTAAAGGTACTATGGCGTAATCATGCGGTGGAAGAAGCAACCTGGGAGACCGAAGAATCTATGCGAACTCAGTACCCTCATCTCTTCGACGACCAATGACTCAGGTAATTTCGAGGACGAAATTCTTTTTAAGGGGGGGAGAAATGTAACGCCCTGAAATCTGGCCCAAAAGAATTAATTAAATTGTTAGAGCAATTGATCACGAATTGGGCCTAAAAAGGGGTTAAAATTATAATTTGGATTCTAAGCCCAACTTTTATTTCATCTCGTAGGAAATATTTTTGTGATCGCGTCGGTTCAGACGGCTCGCGAATCGGAGTTATGGAGCTCATGTTATGACCATTTAATCAGGTATTTTGGGTCCGAAGCCCAATCCTTTTAGGAATGGGATCATTAATTAAAACCTAAACCTATTATCTACCACACGATCGTTATATTCTTCTTCTCCTTCTCCTTCTTCTTCTCCTTCTTCTTCTTCTTCTTCTCCTTCTTCTTATTCTCCTTCTTCGTCTTCAACAGCCGCGGTCGTCGCCTCCACTGCCAGCGCCGGTCACCCTTCCCCAGCCAATCGCCGCCGCTGCTTCCTTCGCCAGAGGTCCGCCGTTAGCATCAGCGCCGCCGACGACGGTTCACCTCGTCGTTCTGCCGGTCGTCGCCTCCACTGCCAGCGTCGGTCGTCCTCGCCATCGAGCTGTAGCGCCGCTGTTTCTCCTTCGCCGGAAGTCCGCCATCATCGCCGTCAAGTGCAGCGCCGCTGTTTCGCCTTCGCCGGAAGTCCGCCATCATCGCCGTCGGGTGCAGCGCCACCACGCCGAGCGCTGGACGTCGCCTCCACTGCCGGCGTCTTTCCTCGCCGTCGAGCTGCCGCTACGCCACTGTCGCCGGCGTCTGTCACCGTCGCCGCATCCAGCCGCTGCCCCAAATTGATATCGCCGGCAGATTAACCTCCACGCCGGATTGATTGGTCGATTTCGCATTTTGACTCAATTTGACCCGTTCGTTTGATTTCGTTGATTTGTCTTCTGTTCGAGCTATCGATTCGATTTCGGCGTAATCCAGGTCCGTACTATGAAGTTAATAGCATTTAGAATAGATTTAATGGTTTGGATCGTTATATGTGTTTATGCTGTAATTTGGCTAAATTGGTTAATTGAATTAAATTGATTATTTGAATTGAATTGTTGAGGATTGCGAATTGACTGAACAGGTTTGACTTTGACTTGGGTTGGGTCCTGTTTGACTTGGACTTTGACTGGATATTCTGTCGACGTAGGTTTGACCGAATGGTTAAATCCAAGACTTTAATGAATTAGTTAAGTTAATTAATTAATTCTAATCGGTGATTAAGGTCAATTGGTTTATTATGTCGAACATAGAAACTGGCCATTGCTCAGGCGGCTGCAGGGCCTGGTCAGTGAGGTTAAGACGTGCACACGAGGGTCTGTGATCTTGGGTTTGAGGCTATCGCCCGAGGGATCCTACCTCCACCGAATTGAGGCAATCTTCGGTATTACGGATTGAGGCTATCTCCGTCATAGGCATTAAATGTTAAGTGGTTTGACTTTGGTGAAAGTCTAAATTGGTTTGACCGGTGGTCAAAGAGTTAATGAGAAACCCGTAACACCTAAATCATTTTGAAAAGAAAGAAAATAAGTTGACTGTTGGTCAACCGTCTAAAGAACCGAACGTAAAGTTGA